CGTGGGCGGTGCAAGACGGCACTAGCTTCAGGGATCTGCGCATCTCCCTGCCTTTGTCCTGGCTTCCCTTGTACAGCATTGCTCCACTGCTCAAGGAGATAAATACACAGACCGTTATACAACGTCTAAAGGACAAATCATTTTAGTATCAGCAACCATCCAGAACATGGTTTACAGTTACAAAGCAGAAGTATCTCTGGTTGTGGTATCAAAATAAGACTTGAGATACTGTATAGTATATTCTGTTTAATACTTCATTTGATAGGTAAGGTTTGCTTACTAATGTCAGAAATAAAGGCTTTTGATTATTAATTTGTAAAGATGTATTTACAAAAAGAATTCCAGCTATAATTCAAAAAAATAAGTTTAGAGGCAGTTCATTCTTTGCTCATTGACAGCAATGTACACAACAGTACATAAGCAAACAAACAAAGATGCTGCTGTTAGTAATTTGTGACCAGTTTGTTTCCTTCAATACGCTCACTGATAGAGAAGGAATAGGGAAGAAAACCATGACCTTGATTTAAACTAAATGTTGTGCATATTCGGTTTTAATTAACACTTATTGTTTGCATAAAGCATGACTCTTCGTTATAGCTGAGTGTTTGTAGCTGATATGTTTGTCCATATTCTGTGCATCATGGGATGTGGGAAAACTGAGGATCATGTGTTACTCTTTTATATGAACAGAAATTTACAATCTCTCCTTTAATCACGTAAAAATGTAAAGTCATTACAAATTTATATTCACCCCATCAGAAAATGTAACCATTAAAAAGGTGACAAATGACAAAAGCTTTGAGAAGACTAAAAAACAGCTCAAGTAGTGGAAAATATGACTAAATGATACTTACTCAGGTTTCCATAAAGCCTGGGGGTTGTGGTGGACATTGGCTGCTGTTCTTTCTTTATTTTTAAGTCCAATTTCTATCTGTTTATCTGAAGAGAGATAATTGTACATCATTACTAAACTGACAGGCTGTAGATATGTATAAAATAAGCTTTATGTACAGTGCACTACCATTCAAAAATTTAGTTTGTACATTTTTTCCTTCGATGAATATAAAGTTCCAAACAACAACAACAAAAAAATCTTACTGACCCCAAAGTTTTGAGTAGTAATGTATGTCTGTCAAATTTTTACCAGATCACAGAGACACATGGGGCAGTGAGATCACACTCACCCATCCCGTCACTCTCAATCCATGAACTCAGGCTGTTGCTGTGTATGTCATCAATACCCATGAAGGCAACCCTGCCAACCTGAGCCACCAGTGAGCAAAACAAGACACAATGCATGAAACCAAGGCTGTACAAACAATGCATGCATTTGCAAGTGCTTAGTGGTGATTATATGAACATACCTCTGTAAAGGCTTTCTGCTTTTCATGTTCTGCCTTTCTGTGGTGTTTTGATCGGAACAGCCCTGCAATCCCTGCAAAAGTCTTCTTGACAACCCTGACGATCACATCTGTAGAAAGATGACAGACATATGAATAAAAGTCTTGATGGTAGGTGACTGAGAAATGTCAGTTAGGCACTGTTGTTTACATGGAAGAGCTAATTAAATATTTACCATGTCTTGCTCTTTTGACCTCTGGATATTCGGTCACACAATCAGCTGAGTACACACTGCAACCCAGGAGAAAATGAAACACTTCAGTGCATCAGATGCATCAAAGGACTAGGCCTAGTTCACTCAAATGAAAATTTACTCACCCTCAGGCCATCAAAGATGTAGATGAGTTTGTTCATCTGAACAAATTTGGAGAAAATTAACATTACATCACTTGCTTACCAATGGAACCTCTGTAGTGAATGGGTGCCGTCAGAATGAGAGTCCAAACAGCTGATAAAAACATGACAATAATCCACAAGTAATCTACACAACTCAAGTCCATCAATTAATTTGTCATGTCTGCATCATAATGATTTGTCAGTGTTTTTCTGCTTGCGTCAAACACAATTTCAGCTAAACTTAAACTAAGGAAATGGAGTTAATAAATGGTGCATGATTTTCTAACACAATGAGTTGTGTGTGTATACAATACATGCACAAAGTAAGAGTAGAGAGAGGCAGTGAGAGAGACGAAATTACTACTTTTAAAGGAATAGTTCACCTAAAAATTAAAATTTGCTGAAAATTTACTCACCCTCAGGCCATCAAAGATGTAGATGAGTTTGTTCATCTGAACAAATTTGGAGAAAATTAACATTACATCACTTGCTTACCAATGGAACCTCTGTAGTGAATGGGTGCCGTCAGAATGAGAGTCCAAACAGCTGATAAAAACATGACAATAATCCACAAGTAATCTACACAACTCAAGTCCATCAATTAATTTCTTGTGAAGTGAAAAGCTATGTGTTTGTAAGAAAACGTCCATCATTAAGACATTTTTAATGTCAAAAGAATGCTTCTAGCTAACATATGAGTCTTCTATCCATAATATTGCTCTATCCAGTGAAAAAGTCGTTTTGTCTGAATCAGGAGAGAAACATGCACAGATCAAGCACAATTTACACGTTAAAACCGTCCACACCGGTTCTTAACAAATATGTCAGTGTATTTCAATGTGAGAGGACAACAGTACTTTTTCACTGGAGAAAGTGTTATTGACTATTGATTATTAATGCCTTGATGATGAATTTGTTCATTACAAACACACAGCTTTTCACTTCACAAGACATTAACTGATGGACTTGAGTCGTGTGGATGACTTGTCAGCTGTTTGAAGTCTCATTCTGACGGCACCCATTCACTTCAGAGGTCTATAGGTGAGCAAGTGATGTAATGTAAAATTTCCCTAAATCTCTTCCAATGTAGAAACAAACTCATTTAGATCTTGGATGGTCTGAGGGTGAGTATATTTTCAGCAAGTTTTCATTTTTAAATAATCTATTCCTTAAAAAATCTTTAAAATAAATAATCAGACTCACAGGTAAACAGAAAAAAAACACATGGCTTTCTTAAAGAGCATTCATATTTATATAGCCGTCTTAACACTTTGCAATATTGTGCAGGCAGAAACAGGAAAGGACGTTATCTATACTGTCCATTGAATGGCACCAGATCTGTAATAATTCTAATCACAACAAACATTTCGTAAATTAACTTTATGTTTAACGGTATCCTATTAATTTAAAGACAAAGACAGTGATTGTTTGTTGAAAGTAGACTGTCTATTGACGAATTGTTTACTTTGGACTGATTTCTGCCCCCGAAGACAAATGCAACATACTACACTGCCTATTGTTCATGTAAATGATTACAAGTAACAAACTGACACTAGAAAAAAAAACAAGGCACTCTGTGTTAATTAAAATAGAAACCAAAAGTAATTAGGTTTATTCCGAAACGAGGAATACAAAAGGACAAATACCTCACCTTTGATAGTTGCGTTTGGCGGGCCTACTGTTGTCCAGCCGCTGCTTGTCTGTGCCCGCGGCTCGTTCTATACCGTGACCGTGCACACTAGGCCAGGCTGCGGATTTCTCACCAGAAAAAGGCACGAAGAGCGACGATAATCCGTCAACTATCCATTCATACATCACAAACCACCACGATGAATAAGACTCCGCTTCGTTTGTTAGTGCCAGGTCTATACTGAAGATTTTGAAACCGAAAACCCACTCGTGTTTCAATAACCTTCCGTAGCCGTACGCTTACTGCGTCAGATTTGTCCACTGCGACACCGCAGCACTGCTCGTCGCTAAGCCCTCCCACTCTCCACTACACTGTGATTGACGTTCCTTTACACCGCCAGTCAAGGCGCTGCAGAGCAGCAAATAGTAAGTACTTGGTAATGATCTGTCACTGGGTTCAGTGCAAGAAATAAAATGGAACAAACGAAATAATGTTTTGTTAAAAACAGTACACAATTTAATTACTTAGTTTTATCTGTATATTCCGTGTATGCTGATTTTGAATGGTTGGTATATGAGTAAGGTGATTAGTTTTACAGCTAAATATTTGGCGGGACAAATCATGCAACCAATCAGATGCGCAACTGAGGATCACGTGTCTCAAAGCGGAAGAAATATCGAGTGGGTGTGCTTGTTTTACTTACTGAATGTTCTATGTTTGTTAAAGGTTTTCACGAGTCACAGACAAAGGCATGTAAAGTATTTTAAACAGCATTACTTGACATGACATATTCTCAGTTTTAGCTTCAGCTAAGATTTATATTGCGCAAACAGCATTACACAATGTATTGCCTATTTAAATATAGCATGACAAGTGAGTACACTGCAAAGACATGAAATGTAAATTTTAAAAGGGACTGTTGTATGGCAAAACTATGGAAGCCCGTTTCTGCCACTGAATAAAAACTAAAAAAGGTAATTGCGACTTTTTATCTCACAATTCTGACTTTTTTTCTCAGAATTCAAAACATAT